ATATTCTCTTATGGTACGAACTATTTATAGATTCCTGTTTAAAATTATAGTTTTATTATACTTGCATAATATTACATATTATTCAAAACATTTGTCATCTTAACTAAAAATTAATATATCACCTATAAAAGTAGCAGTTAAAAGTAAACATGTTGTCAATAAACTTCAAAAATTAAACTCTTTGCAAAGACTGAAATAAACAATGAACTGAAAGTATTAGCAAATACAGTTGAAATTATTGAACTTAATTTTTATGAAGCTATTGAAAATTTGTACAATACCATATCAGTAAACATAAAACAATAAACGTTCAGCTTACAAAACACTGAAAAATTTAAATCGATGTTACTCATTATGCAAAAGGTATTTAAAAAGAAAAACAAATTTAACACAAAATAGTAAAGAGCGGAATAAATGTAACAAGAGGAAATTCTATTTGCGGAACATATCCTGGTAAAATATACAAGTTTAGTTATACAATAACTGAATGTTTAAGATGCAAAAAATATTTCTATACAGAATAAGTACATATAAACATTTTTTGAAGTAATTATTGTATATAATTTTAGGATTTTCGTACTACAATATAACTTATTTTGTGTTTGCCTGAAGATGCAACTTCTATGAAAAGAATCTTTTCAATTAGAAATAGTATTGCATCATATAAGAAGAAATCAAATTGTAATTATAAAGATTATTAGAATGTTAATTATAATTAAATTTTGTTAAGTAAAACAAATTCATCTAAAAAATATGCATGGTATAAGTATGAAGAAATATAATTCAATATTTATGTACAACAAAACATTCTTTTACAAATATCATACTTATAATGGAACTTCTTGTTTTGTATTTGTATAATGGAATGTGTAGACTAATAAAATCATAGTAATTAATAATAAAAAATAATCACACATGCATATGGAAAATAAAAATGTTTAAATTATTTACATACGTATAAGACCGGCATTTCCGCAGATATAAAATTACACTTACCAAATAATTTCTCACGTGTTAAAGAAAATTACCGGTATAAAAAGGGCAACACATCAAACTAGCTTTAACAAATACAAATATAAAACTAATCTTAATTATTGGGTAAAACGTTTATAAAATCTTACGGCTGCGGAGCACTATTTAATTTTTATAGAAATAACCTTCGTAGTAAACAAAACGGTAAATTACTATAACCATTTTAACGAAAATACTTTTCGATGTTGCGATGTTATAATCAATAAATGGCGGGAATGCAAATTTCAAACATGAGAAACTAATGCCACAGATTTACGACAAGTATAGACGCTGCACTCAATAAAATTTTCTAGTTCGTGGTCTAACACAAACTTGTGTATGGTACCGCAGGTGCGATTTACAATATTATCATATTCTGTGGTGTAATTATATATATGAGTGTTAGAGCCATTGTTAAGTATTTTTCATATAGTGTAGGATAGAGTTTTTACTGAAGTTGCTTCCGAGCAAGGCATTCTTTGTAACTAGCAAGGTGATTACCCTGGCAATTAAAACATCTTACATTTTCTATTTTACCTTGAAGAGGGCATAGTGAAGTAAAATTTTTTCTAACATACTTAACACATTGCGTACGGGTCACAAGATATCTCGTACATAGTAAACCGAACTTTGCGGCTGGGTTACGAGATATCTCATTTTATTGGTTTTTTATGCGCGCGTATCGACGACTCAAAAAATTAATAATAAATTGATTTTCTTGTTATGTTACCAAGCCAACGAAGGCTTGCATATTCTTATGACAAATGATTAACGAAAGAAATGTATGTCGAAATTCTGAAAGAGCAGCCAACAATCGGTCAGTATTGTCATTATATCGGTAGGTCTGTGTCAATTGTGTATCGTACTTTTAAAGAAAATGAAAGTCAAGATAAATTATAGGATACACCACACAAATAACACTTCTGATCAAAATAAACTTAACACTAGCAACATTCTTGAATTAAGTAATATTATTAAATATGCAATGCACAAAGTTTTTTCGGGACTCTCAGAAATGTGCAGGCACTGGAAGCACGTTAAGCGAACCGAGTGCCATATGCAGTGTTTTCAAATATAGTTGTTCTGAAACAATGATTTTTAGTATGGCCATAAATTTGACACTGTATACATTGTGGTATATTGCCTTTGGCTTTAGGGGGTTCGAAAGTAACTATAGTATTTAGGAGTCTATTTATTTTGAAGATTTCTTTGTTGTTATTAGTGGATTCGAATTTTGTGAAGAACAACCGTAGTGACTTTGATACACTCAGCGACAAAAAGATAGCACACTATATAAATAATATGTTTTTACCTTTTAAAACCATATATTGAATTACTTTTAATATTTATATTGTTTAATAAAATTAACAAATTATTTTAATGTACTTAAACAGATTAATTATAAAAAGAAAAATTCAACAATATGTACTAGAAAGTAAAAAATTAGTCTGTCAAAAAGATAGAAAATTTTTCTTAAATTAATATGTAAAAGAAAATATTATTTCAATATTTTGTAGCTCCTCCTTTTGTACGTATAACTGACAGTAAATATCTTGGAATAGATTTAAATCATTTTTTAACAATTTTTTTGCTTAGTAATGTCTAGTTTTGTTCAATACAGTTTTTTAATTCTTAAATGGTATGAAATAGTCTTTCTTTAACATATACTAATTTCAACTAACTATGCCCAAAAATTTTCAATAATGTTTAAGACTGATGATTTAACCAACCACTCTAAAATTTGAATATTTTATTCTCTAAAGTATTCTTGTACACACTTTGCTTTATTAGCACTTACATTGTTCAGTTCAAAAATAAATAAAAATTTTGCTTTACAATCTTCATTGCATATTTCTTTAAATGTAATTTTAGTACTGCCATAATAGCCAATTCCAGTGCAGACCATTATTCTTCCATGACATGCTTGTTGACGATTTAAAATCTGTATTTCTTTACATAAATCATAAAAATGGTATTGACATCCATCTGATCCATCCAATGTATATCTCTTTTCGTTACTGAAACTGATTCTTTGTAAATTGTAATCAACCTTCTTTGTGCAACTTTGTTAGTGATGATTTATGCATAAGTTTCCAGTGTTTTATGTATTTACAATTTTTTATAATACACTGTACATTATGGATAGTAGTATCTATACCAATTTCTGCTGCAATTTCTCTTGCAGTTAATGCTGAATATGATGCAGTTCTTAAAATTGTATGTTGTCAATGATTAATTATCGTATTTGGACAACTTTTTCTTTATTTTTTCATAATTCTGCATATTTTGAAAAAAGTTATAACTAACCTTACGACAACGATTTAATGTTATCGCAAATTTTACATAAATTCTGAATTGTTGCTATTTCACAATCACTTAATCTTTTACCATGACTCATTGTATAATAAACTATATAATTTTACAAGATATCGCTTTTAAAATGTGCATAATATTATATACTTGTTGGTGTAAAGAATTTTACAACTCTGTACCAACTAAAGTAGGAAAACTTTGAAGCTGTGCTATCATTTTGACGTAGCAGTCAGTATTAATGTTTACGTTTTCAGCTTTTCTGTACGCTTATAGGTACAACAGAAATGTTTACCCTGAACATCTGTAATGTATTGCTAACTGAAAAGTGATACATAGTACAAGAACTTTTAATATTCAGTCTTTTACATTTAATATTTGCAAAAATTAACAGAATTTTATTATATTTGATGGTTGGACTCTTTTAATTCATTGATAATGCTTTGAACATTTGTTTTAAGGTACATCCCCCTGAGTACTATCTGGTAGCTTCTGTCTTTCTTGAGTTGATATGTATAGAAGTTAGAATTTTTGTTTTTTAAGGTAAAAACTTATTATAGATTCCGGTGGAACTTGCTTGAACTTTAATATGATTAGTTTTTATCTGCTGTAAAGTATAATTATTACCTGCTGTTTCATTTAGAAGTGTTATTAGTGGCTCAATGATTTGAGTCTCGATGTGGTTTGGTAAAAGCTTTGATTCCATGGTTTTGTCGTAGCAGTATTCATATATTGATCAATAACTGCAGGTAAAATACTAAAACGGTTGTCTACAGGAATATTTGTTAGCCATTTAGACTAGTCTATGTCCAAGTTTTGAATGAAAAGATCAGGAAAGATGAATTTTACACTTCTTGATAGTAGATTGATGATTACTCATTGACAGTTGGTTAGTTTCCATTGCCTCTTTGTCGATTAAGATGTTATTTAGTATTGGAAGAACTGTTTGTTCTGAATTTATTGCCGGATTTGATTATTCTGGCCGTTAAAAATTCTTTCTGTTTATCCCTATTTAAGAAATTTGCGTACAGCTTGCCAAATGACAAGTGAGAGCGAAAAGAAACTTCTTATCAGTTCGTCGGTTTGATTGGAACCGATGTATTAATAGATTGATCGATTCTTTTTTGTCTTTTAAACTCCGCCCAGTAGGAACTCTTCTTCTGGCGTTACTTGTCCTTTTTCTTGCAACAACAAGTTCGTTTAGATGACGGCAGAAAGGGCTTTCTCTTTCTACAGTTTGTCTGATCCGGGCTACCAGGCTTCCCAGGGTCAGGGAGCCTGCTAGGTTTTCAAGCTCCTGCCTGCCCACCGTAGTCGTCAGGCACCAGAAGATATCATGCTCTGTTGCGTCGGGTTCCTCCCGATACAACAAGCACGTCGGGTCCGTTGCTTTCCCTCTTTTGGCAAGGAATGCCTAGAAGGCTTCATGGCCCCCAAGACACTAGGTGATTCTAAAATCCAGAATTTCTGGGCCTCACTCTATCCAGCCCCTGATGTTCAGGATAAGACTTCTGATCACTGGTCGTTCTCAGACTTATTCCATTAAGCCTGCCACCTGGTCAGCGTATCCTGTTCCACTATCCTCCTCAGCTCGCTCTCGGACCTTTTATCCTCGTCGCACCTTCCACGCCTATCTTTCACACGTCAATCCGCCGAAATATCTCCGTCCTCTCAATGATTCTCAGGTCAGTCAGAGGGACACCCGTTAGCACACAGAATGCCGTCTATGCCGTAGTGCGGTATGTTCTCGCCACTTTCATTATCACGGTCTTTTGAGGTGCCCTGAGCTGTGAACGGGATTTCACATACGAAACCGCCTCATGCCACGCCAGGGCAGCATATAGGAGGATGAGCTCCGTTATCCGGTAGTACGCCAGCCTGATCGCACGGGGGCAGCCCCTGAAGTTAGGCGTAAGTCGCCTCAATGTCGCAGCATACCTACACGCCTGGTCGCAAATTGCACTCACATGGTCTTTGTACAACTTATTGGGCATCCGCTTGTTCTCAGTACATGCTGTCCTACCATTAGGTTTTTCAGCCTGTCTTTCTTTCTGGCCGTGAAGATGAGGATGTCAGTCTGTTCCTCAGCCAGTTGTAGGCCAACCCCTCTAAGCTAAGTCCTCACCAGCTGCAGGGCGTCGGCTGCCTTGTCGGTGAAATCAGCTAGGTCCCGTATGCTGACTGTCGACGTCAGATCATCACCGTACCCAATGGCATCAACCCCTGATGGGTAATTCAACCCGAAAAGCTCATCGTATGCGATGTTCCACAGAGTAGGTCCTAACACAGACACCTATGGAACCCCCGCATGGATTGGTTTTTTTAGACACCCCCTCTTACGTGTCCACAGCTACATTTGAGTCGAGGTAGTTGCGGATAATCTCCATTATGTCTTCACTCAAGCCCTTTCTGTCCAATGCATCTGTTAGGACCAGAAGGGGACAATTTTACGATACGGCAAAATATTTATAGCTTAGCTTTCCGTTCGGTACTTTACCAGGCTGGCCTGCACCTGGTTATTATACTTAGGAAGGGATGGAAAAACCGCCCCTGAAGCCCACCTTCGCACATCGAGAGGGAGGGAGTGGGCCCAGGAAGATTATAAAAACCCTTGAAAGATAGTTAGAACACAGTTAAGAACAGAAACAGACCAGAATCAGAATCAGAATCAGTTGAGAATTAGAAACAGGAACGCGTTCAATCAAGAACAAATTAGAAACACTTCAGAAAACCTCCATTCAGTAAGGTACATCATTCAGTCAATCAGTCATTAGAAGTCTTAGTCCCAACATTAGGTTGTCCTTCGAGAAAAACTCAGCATATGTTCCAAAGTGCTCGTGACAGTCAGAGTGCTTTACAGCATCTATGATAGTTGACAATCGCAAGATATCAAAGGCGTTTGGGATGTCTAAAGTCACCAGAGGCACAGCTTGCCCTTCGCTTTCGCGTCTCATAGTGGGCGATTTGGCCGTTTTAGGCGGTCAATATATATTTTGTTATTACTTATAGTAATATTTATATATGTTAATATATATTTTATATATAATATCATATTACAAAATATGTATATATAATATGACATATAATATATAATCATATTTTTGTTGAAAAAATTCGATATATAGGTGTTTTTAATTTTGACCACCTAAAACGACTAAATCGACCACTGTGGGACGCGGAAAAGCTAGATTTTCAACACTTTTCGGAAATTACGAGTTCACGCACATGTCTTTCGGGTTAAAGAACGTCCCCGTCATGTTCCAGCGTTTAATGGGCGCAATCCTAACTGGTTTACAGAGTCTAAATTATTTGTATATTTAGATGACATGATTTATGCGAGATCCTTATCGAAACACAAAATGAAATCCCAAAAATTGGTGGAACGGTTCTGTCAGGCATACCGTAAACTCCAGTCGTCGAAATTCGACTTCCTACACAAAGAGGTCGCTTATCTCAGGCACAGTGTAGCGACTAGCTGTGCGTCAGAAGAGAAATTTGCGGTGCACAAGAGTTCAACGAGATTTGTGATATGCGCAATATGAATATGTTTTTAAGAAAGTGTCTTCAACATTTTTAGATATTTGGCGGACAGACAGGCCCGCACAGCTTTTCCACGACAGTCTCAATAGTGCAAGCGGATGCTATAAATTTTGGATCGACAAAAGAGCTGCTGCTCGAGGTGTTCGAGTGAGGCATCCGCTTAAACTTCGTCAACTGGTGAAAGTCGAAAAGCATTTTTTAACAACTACCCTCTCTCCGAAGAAACGCGTTGAGGGCGCAGAGTAGGAAGGAAAAATTCCTTATAAGGTGGAGGTCGTGGCAACCGCGGAGTTCAGATAACGTACTGACAGGATTCGGATAGATACGTGTTTTACTGTCACTACTCACGTTATTGTACAGTTTGTTATTGCTATCGTATCGCGGTACAGACTTATACATAACGCATTGTAAATAAAATACTCTGAAAACGAACACTCGTAGATAGTTATTGATTACCATTATACCTTCCTACAACAGAATTAGCGAGGACGGCGTCCACCCTTGCGACGACAAGGTATTAACAGTGAAAAACTTCCCCACGCCCAAGAATGTTCAGAATGTTCGCGAGTTCTTGGACCTTTTCGGTTACTACAGGCGTTTTATAGATTTCCTTTTGCAAATTTCAAAAGCCCTTAATAATGTTCTTGAAAAAGGACAGTACATTCATTTAGGGAATGAACCAGGCGCGCGCGTTTGAGACTGAGGGGAACTCTATGCAGAGAGCCCGTCTTGGCATATCCCGACTTCGAAAAGGAGTTTAATGTCACCACCGACGCGCTCAGTTACGCGGTCGGTGTAGTTTTAAGGCAAGGGAAGATAGACTACGACCGACCCGTTGCGTTTACATCGAGACTTCTTCACGGTCCCGAGCTAAATGACAGGTGTGTCTCACAATAGTACGGTATCCGAAACCCAGGAACATGAGCGAACTGCGACGTTTCCTAGGTATAATCAATTTTAACAGAAGATTCATAAAAGACGCAGCGTCCACCCAAGCGCCATGTCATAAGTATCTGGAAGACGCGAAAAATAAGGTCAAAAGACCGATCGTTTGGACAACAGAAGCAGAGGCAGAATTCGACAAATACAAAAGGGCGTTGACGAATGCTGCGTTGTTGACAGAAAATACCGAACTTACCCCCAGGGTGGACGCCAATGGATGTAGTACTGTAACAAAAGGGAAAAGGGTTATGGAAACGCATTGGTTTCTTTTCAAAAAAATGTTCGCAGCAGTAACTGAAGTACAGCACGTACGTCAGAGAAATAACTGCAACTTATACACCAATTAAACACTTGTTTCTTTCACAAATTCGACTGTGCTTACAAAAACTCATGTTTTTCGAAAACTGAGGGTGACTCAGAAATTTGGTTTTCAGATTCGTATGTAGGGCAAGGAACTCTATAAGAATCATCTAGTGACTATTACAAAACAAAAATCGTGTTGGACAGTGTAAGCAGGAATGTAATAAGCCTGATCCACCTCGCAGGGGGATGTCGCAACCACCCTGACGAAGGGCTCCGGTTACATGGCCGTTTAGGCCGGGGAAGTTGTCCATCTAATTAAATGCATTCCAATTATCATCACATTGAGAAGAACGGAGTCGTGTTTTTACAAACTCCCAATGACCTATAAGAACGCATCCTATCTCTTAACTCCCAAACACGGGTGCTACCAACGATTGGAACGCACAAGGAATGTAATGAATTAATTTCAGCAATGTACCTACTACGGCACTTGGTATTGTCTCTCACCTAGTGTTTCTGGAAGCATTTTATATGCCATCTTAGGTCAAATACAGCTGCGAAAATGATAGTGCAAGCTACCCCAAAGCCCCATACCCTCCCGAAGTGCGCGATGCAAACATTAGACATTATAGAGACTTTCTCTGAGCTTCGAACTTGGACCTTCCGCGTACATACAGACACCCCGAAACTCCCACACCGGCACGTCGTTTGGACCATTTTCCAGCATAAAGTCGTCCTCTCCAAGGGGGGTTGTGTTACGTCTGCGGACGTTTGCGTAGTCAATAAGTTAGTTCTAAGCTGCAAACGAAATAATAATAAGATCCGAGCGAGCCCCTACACAAGCAAATGTGCAGAACCTCGAAAACTAAAAACTTCACTTCCATCTTATCATCGAGTTGGTACAGTTGAAAAGGATTCGATTCTACCGAAAGCTTCGAGAGTACCCGCAATTAATAATTGTATTCTGATTATTTCTTTTCATGTTAAAATACAATACAGTATGCTCTTCAGTTTATAAATCTTAAGTTATTCTAATCGTATCCTACCTCTCACATTAACTTAAACAACTCGCACACGGTTCGTGAATCACTTGAATAACGAGGAGCTGTATCAGTTGCGCATTTCCGACGCCTAGAGGACCGAGAGGCCTAATTGACTGTTTCCTACATCTATATGCGAAAGATCCCTCTGCAAGACGCCGGGGCGTAACAAACTTATTTTAATACAAATACTATGAGCGTTTTTTAAAAATCTTTCGAACACCTATCAACTTCAGCACAACTGAAATTTTTCAAATGACTTCATTTTTCATAAAAACAATGTTAAAGACAACGATTTTTGGCGATTCAAAGGTTAAGATGCAAAATTTGGAAAAAGTGTTTTATCATTATAGTGTCACTTCCTGCAGTTTCTGGAAATTATATATTCTAATTGGTGTGATATTCTACTGATAGTTTCATTTTGAGTAGGAAAAATGTTTACACGAAATATTTTTGACAATTCCGAAAGTAAGACACAAAATTTTGGGAACAAAGTGTTTTACGATTGTGGTATCACTTTCTACGATGCCGACAGAACGTAAAATGAAATTATATTAGCACTGCCGACGAGATCTCGTTGGTTTATAATGGTAACGTAGGAAATGAAGTTGCCACGGTAAAACGCTTTTTTACAAAATTTTCTAAATCTTTTGAAAGATTTTACATCTCAATCTTCGCATCGCCACATATCCATCTTGCAAACATTATTTCTGTCTAAAAAGGACCTGCATGCAAAATTTTAGCTCAATCAAATTTATCAGGTTTTCGGAAATATTTTGTTATAATTATTTATTAAAATATTAAATTTAATTTAACGTTCATAAATTATATTATTCTATCATATACACTACCACTTCATTCATATAACTTCTTCACCAACTTTACATTCATCGAGTCCCAAAGTAATGTTCGTTGATTATCTTCGAGTGAAATTAATACTGAAATTAACTTCATTAATCTTCGATTTCTGGTATATTTACACTCATTTTTATCAGAAAAATATTTTCAATTGATTCACCATATTGCTAGTGCATAATTTAAAATCATAAGATAAAGAACTTCATTAGTAGACGATAGTGAGCGTCATCCAATTCGGTTCTCCCCGAGGTATAGTTGTCGGCTAGTATCAAAGACAACATTGCATCGCATTTCCTATATATATTACTAGCTAAATTCAAATTTTTATTAGTAACATTTTCATGATGAAAGCTATATCAATCGAACATACATGATTTTCTAATGAAAATAAGTCCAAACACGACATAAATTGAATAACAATTTCACTCGAAGCTGATTTTCAGAAACAAAGTGTGTTTATTATTCGACAAATCTAAACGAGTCTAATGGATTCGGCAATGGCAACATCAGGTGGGTTGGTGAAAGTGCGGGCAGTCGATCTGTGTGAACGTCGACGAACGTCCAAGCACGGTGCCCTTCGACAATACTGCCAATGCTCGTCATGGATCTGTAGATGTTAGAATTGCAACGAGCAATAAACAGTTGAGGATGAAGGTGCTTTTCCTATCGACGTTCCCAGGGAAAACTAATGATCTCGCGAGGGTGGTGATTGATCTTCCGCGAAAAGGGTGTCGACAGTTGTTAATACTCGTGGTTACCGTAATGGTGGTCGAGTTTTGTTGAATTTTGCACGTGGTGTGCCGACTAATAAAACTTGTACGGTTCGAAGGACCACCCGATATGATCGGGAACAAAACTTAGAAATGAGTAGGAGGTGAAGTGGACTTTGACTCTAATGCTATGTGCTTGATCGAAATTGCTAATTGATACTTTGTAATCCGTACTTCCTACTCCGTACTCTTTTTTAAGTTTTGTTTCCGATCATATCGGGTGGTCCTTCGAAGCGTACAAGTTTTATTAGTCGGCACACCACGTGCAAAATTCAACAAAACTCGACCACCATTACGGTAACCACGAGTATTAACAACAGTCTTGTAACAATTTTCGCACAATGCTTTCCCGAGACCCCGTACTCTTGTATTTTTGTAACAGTACACGTTGTTGTTAGTCAATCTCCGTGGTATCTTCTACCACTATCTTCTACCTGTCATTTCTTACAGTCAGTATTTTTTATATCGGCAATGATATGATTAAATCAATTTTTGGTTTTTGCAATATTTACATTTTTCTTTCTTTGTTACTGATTTATAATTACGTGAAAGTTGAGGGTAAATAATTATGCATATTGAATTTTTTAAAACATGTAAAATTATGTTCCGTAAAAATTTGTTGCTGAAGAAAATTTGATTCGTTCCGGAGAAAATGAATGTTTTCTATTAAGACACAAAAAATATTGTCGATATAGTGGAATTGAAAGGTTTGGCGAAAACAAATGTGTAAGTGTAATTTATTTAAATAGAATACAGCAAGAGCAAAATTAAACTAAACTACACCTGACCTTCGATTTACGCGAAAATCCATTCCACGTGGGTTCGTTTTACGGGAATGAAAATCGCGTAAATAGAGCCTGTCGGCACAAGAGAAAACAAAATATTGAAGAGAAAAGCTGGTATAAGTTTTAGAAATACATATTTATTTCACATAACATAACAAAAGAAATAATAATAATGACATTTTAGAAGACAAAAGTATATTTTATTCGCTGTTACTAAATTCAGATGGCGTAAATTGAGATCGCGCTTAAAAACTACAGCGTAAATAGTGTTCCAATTTACCGCATAAAAAAGAAGCTCGCGTGAAAAGTATCCCCGTAAATCGAAGGTCAGGTGTATGTAACTACGTATTAATTCTACGCAGTACTACATTGTTCAACACTGGTCTACTCTGTCTTGCTCCTCTCGATTCACAAAACTACACTGTTCCCGAAAAGCCTTATAATGATCTTAAATACTAATTCCGTCGACACGAGGCACGGTTCTGCAAGCCATCATCGGTCGCCTGCGAACCATTTGAGTCCCACGTGGCCTGGTCATAAACGGTCCGAGTATACCTGAGATATCCGTCTTTAGGCGTCGCACCTCACAATATTGTATTTTTATTTTAATTGTCGAATTATTGACATTATTCATAAGAAATTTTATGTTTCTCTAAATGTGTTATATAAAAAGTAAAATGTATAATGCCGTGATGCCAATATGACTAATAAAAATTGTTTTATAAGTATATTGCAAGCAATATACTTTTTCACTGGCGCGATCCACAATATGAACCATTGAAGGAAAAACAATTCTTTTTATTTTCTTGTTACAAGTTGGGGCCGCGAGCAGCGCGAGAGGCCGGCTGGTTGGGTTTATTCCCAGGCAATATGGAGTCAGGTAGTTAGTAAGGTGCGCGGACGAACCCAATGCGATATTGGGGAGCTGCTAAGATTAAAGACGACGAGGATGAACCCAATGCCAAATTGGGGAGCCGCTGAGGTGTGAAGTTACGCGCACTTGAACCTGATGCAAAATCAGGTAGCTGCAGAAGAGTGAAACTTGTGGATAGACTCAATACGAGATCGAGAGCTACTTCGCGGACGAACCCAATGCGAAATTGGAGAGCCGCTGGGGAGGTCGGATAAAGTAAGGCGAACCCAATGCGAGATCGGGGACTTGTAGGATGCGGATGAACCCAATGCGAGATTGGGGAGCCGCTAGAATGGTATAACTTCGTGGACGAACTCAATGCGAAATTGGGGAGCCACTGAGGTGGGAGTAATCTTTTGTTTTTTGGAGTACGTTGTCGCGAACGAATCTGATACGAAATCAGAAACTCGCTAGAATTGTTAGTAGGCGTCGTAATACTATGTGATTGTAATTATTCGATACAATCCAAGCGGTAGGATTGTACCTGTGTGGGAACGTTGAATCACTTGATTAGGATTTTTAATGATTAGGATTACGATAATTAAGGGTCTTAGAGAATCATGAAGTTTTCTAATATAACTCAATTATATTTCGTATATTTGTGGTTAAAAAGTGTTCAGTGTTGCGATGAGTTAAAATGATTATAAAATTCTTACCTAGTTTGCTCGGTGTTGACGCACTGGCAATACAGGGTCTGAGAACGCTCAGATTTAACCAAAAGCAGTAAAAATTAGTGGGTTTGTATTCCCCGAAAAATGGATGGAAGTAGCCGTATGACACACCGTCGCAGTTGCGAGTCCAGTTGCTCAATTTCAAAGGGTACAATTGTTTAGCTGAAAGATCAGGGAGTTACGCATAGGGTGATTCCTGCTAGAGACCGAAGGCTCGTACGAAAGACGTTCTCCGTACGTAACATTCTTAAAACTTGGAATTGAACTAATCACGAAGAGCGACAATTGGGGTGTATAATCATTATAGGTATACGATTTTTTAGATGGTAAACTCAGACAGTCTGACTTCCTCGTTTTGGAGAAACTACATAAAAAATTAAATTTTCAACGGGACCATAAATGGTCCATATTGCAGAAGGAGGTTTAATAGAATTAATAACAAAACTTTATATATTCGTTAACAATATACTAGTTATGTTGCGTTAAAGTTTTAATAATGCAATTTTTTATTCGAATAAGTTTCAATTCATACGCGTAATTTACACTGTAACAGATGACATTACATGAACATGTGTATATTTAGATCTTTGGACACAATGTTCCATAAAATGTCCAATCTATTTTATCTTTCGTTGGTGGACCAATATATCAGTGCTCCACAACTGCTGTGCCGTGGTACACTAGTCTGCTGCGATGGTTTTCTAGAGAATAAAAAAATTTTTTAATTACAACGTTAAAAAATTCTCTAAGTTAAATATTTCTCTAACTTTTTGCCAATATGTAATTTCTTTGAGTCGAAATTATACACAAAATAAAAATATGTAGTTCCCATACATTGTATGTATGCTCGAGCGTCGGCACCTTTGTGTCCGAGTAACGACGCACTTTTGATAGATAGTAGATGGATAGTAAATAAATCTACCTAATCGATAACAGTTAGTCGTTATCCGAACGCGAAAAAATAAAGACGTTGTCCCACCGAACATTGCCTTTTTTGGTAATATTATTGTTATACCCTTAAAAAATGTGGACAAGTATTTATGAGGAAAATTTTCGAATTCACTGACAAATGTTAATGAACCTAGCACAAGTGGCGCTGTAAAAAAAACAGAACATTTGGGAAAGAAATGTAAAGAATAGGGAAACAACTAAGGCTATGTATGGACAAGAGGCATAAACTTAGAATTACACTTAAAAACTACGTCAGGAATGTCCCTGTTTTACAAGGCGTGGAGCATGCGTATGTCTGATTCGGAATCAGGGCTCTTACTGACGTGCCCCTCGACCCGACTTCGGCTCAGGGCCGTGACATCTTTTGTCACCTTCGAGAGCTGTGACGCATTTTTCCGATGACCGAAGTTCATCGAATGACTGGTCCTTCGGCGTCAAGTTACATCCGGGTCGTTCACCCCGGCTCGTGTGTCTCATTTTCGTGACATTGTTACACGGGCCAAATTTTCTTACAGAAAATATAACGAAGATTACATTCGATATGGATTTTCGTGTTGTAATAAAGAAACGCCACCCAAATCGAAATGCATCATTTGCGGAGAAATGCTATCTAACGAATCAATGGTACCCAGTAGACTGCTTCGCCATCTAAATTCAAACCACCGCATTTCTTCTTAGGCTATTAGATCAAAGGCGAAAACAAAGGCAATCAATGTTATCGTCAGTTACAGTTTCTGATAAAGTGTTGTAAGATCAACTCATCGACAACAGCAACATCTCATCACTCCATAAACACATAGAATCATCCGGCAACAAACATCCTAATCACACTATTCAAGCGCCTACTTATCTAGTCTCCTGTACCTACTGACTCATCCTGTCCTCTGCACTCTGCCCTTACACTAGGCTTTGTATTTCCATTATTCACCCCCTGACTCGATATATATATAAAGACGCATCTTGCCACAAGGTCTTGAACTGAATAAAAAAAATGCAAGGTCGAAGCGAAAATTATACGACGTTTTCCGACAAATTAATGGGATTTAAAACTAAGCTCGAACTTTGATATAAAGAGTTACAAAAAGGTTCTCTAGAAATGTTCTAAAGGACTTATAAGTCCATGATTAAAAACAAACAATTAATTCTGGATCTGACTCAACAACATTTAAGTTTATTACAAGAGAAATTTAATTACGATTTTTTCACAATTAATACGGAGCAATACAGTTGGATAATTTATTAATGTTAAAAAAAACGTTATTGTGCCGTGGAAGATAAAAGGTTGCGAAGCACTGCAATATATCCTGTTACCTCTTGTCGGTACTATGGTTGTATATACCACTGGCGAAAGACAGGATCGTCTGTGGCTGTACTTCCAAATATCTGTTAAATCCGCTAGAACTGAAATTTTGTATATAGCTTTTCGTAATATTTTGGATTTTAACTTTCAAGTCGCCAAAATTCCTTTTGGCAAACATTGTCTCTATACAAGATGAAGCTATGTACAACAGTTCAGACCAATCGGACTTATTCTTTTAAAAAATTACATATTTTAAACATCTGTTGGATATACAACTAAATTTAACGTTCAACATATTTTGGAGGCTATAGAGTTCGAGACAAAACGATATGCCATCTTTCATGTGTGCTCAGTCCTGAATACACATGGAAGATAATACCTATTTAGTACACGATATATATTACACTTATCATTGTACGTAAATATACAAAAAATCAGTATGTTGGAGCTGGGTTTGTAAATGTTATGGCAAGAAATATGAATACGCGTTAATACATGTGATACGATCTTAAATCACGAAGTCATATGAAATCACACCCCTCAGATTGAAGTAACAACATTCTATCGGTCTCGCTTGGGTTTAAAGCCTTTGCTTGGAATACTTTTAAACCAAAATTGAAAATAATGCGTTTCACACTGCCTGTGAACTAACGGGGATTTGAAAATTTACATGTGGCGCATCATTTTGATTCGCTAGAAGAATCCCGAATTTACATTTCTTTCCTAACATTCGCGAATCAAGTTTCAGGAAACTGAATTTTTGCGTTTTTACGTACAATGTCAAGTACAACACACGGTGGGCGAAATTTCTGAAAACTCGATACACCCAATGGGACTGAAATTTTGCAAGTAATTTCATTTTGCATAAAAACGATGTTTGCGAGGGGGATTTTTGACGATGCGAAGGTCAAGATGCAAAATTTTACGAATGAACGTTTTACCATTGTAGTATCACTTTTTACGATATCGATACTACGTGAAATGAAATTACATACAATAGTAAGTATTTAATATTTTGTAAGAGAGAGTATGTGAGAAAGAGAAAGAGAGAGTGCTGATGAGAATGACAGAGAAACTATATTACCGACCGTGCACCTAAATATAGTCTTAACACGGTAAGCTATAAGATGTTCTACTGTTGAACCTCACCTACCTTCTTACCTACCATTTTATATTTTCTAGTGATTGCATAAAAAGATCTATTCCAGTTCTTTTCATTTCATATCATCACAAATATTCACACAAGAGTATTCAAATAGAATGTATAAATACAGTGAATATAAATATTTAAGTATTCTGCAGGTTCCGACTAGAATAATTTTTGGAGATTATAAAGTTAAAGCATTGACAGGAAAGGGGCTCTGCCCACCTCTTATAGCTCCTTATAGCGGAAATCAGACATTGAGGTACCAGAGGGTGGTTTGGGCCTTTGTTCACTCGTCATTGACTACTTGGTACCAGGAGTGAGTTTATGATGCGTCAATTATTATTAAAACTTAAATTTCAAGACGCTTCATTCTCATATCAAGAAACCAAAAGTGGAGAGAAATGTTAAACAATAAACTAATTTCCAGCTCCTTAATCCCTTACTTGCGATTTTCAGTATAATATTCGTTGACGTTTTCAGAAATAACTGTTTTAAAAATTACGCATCGTAAAACGCTGCTTGTCCAATACTGCAACGGTAACATAGGGAGTAACATTACAATGGTAAAACGCTCTTTCGTAGAATTTTGTGTCTTAACTTAATTAATTCCGGTGTCTTAACTTCGGAATTACCAAAAATCGTCATGTCTGGTATGCAAAATGAAGCTTTATCAATGCAATATCAGACCAGTCGGAATATAAAAGTTTCAAAAATTACAGGGAGTGACACTGGAATGATAAAACAGTTGTTTACAAAATTTTGCATCTTCACCTTCGCATTAACAAAAATCTCTCTCGAAAACATTGTTTTTATACAAAATGAAGTTATTTACAAAATTTGAGCCCCACCGGAACTTTTTAGTTTTTCGGAAGTACAGCAATATGATGTACTAAATATCTATTATCTTGTGTACGTATTCAGATCTAAGCACACATCTGGGATGACGTATCATTTTATCTCATGCTGTGTAATTCATTACTAATTCTATATTATATGTAATGACACCATCTCGTCTGTGGTAATGATGAATCTGTGTTAACACTTCGAACGTTTCATTGTAGATGGCACACTATACGTTCTTAATATGACGGTCTACCAAATTTGAATCGATTGTTCAATTTTATAAATTCTTCACTTTAATAAAGTCCGTCATTGAAATCAGACGTGATGTTAAACAATTTGTTTAATATAAGTTATAATTGGCATAATAGCCACTATGGTAACGCATTAACAATATTAATTGCATTTATCATCAAATATTAAAATTTAAAATCTTACAAAAAGTCTCACAACTGTCATTGCTTACTTTACGTTGTGCAGGAGATGATTTCCGGGGCGATACAGAACCAAGAGAAATTTCTCGCTATGAGTTTTGTTTACAATATTGATTAGTTATGTATAACCGTATTGACAAATAGCCAATTACTACGTTCGCGACCACGCGTCACATATGTGTGACGTTGTTGGATACCGTTGTTATGGTGATATTAATATACATTTAGTAAAATATTTACATGACATTTAAGTAAAATGTTTTGTTTGGTTTATTTACCATATTTTAAATGTGTATAAATTATATGAATAACATATCAAGTGGAACAATTTCAAGAAAAGCACAGTCCACAGTAATGGTATTTTTAATTTAATCGTAGCCGCGAACCTGTTAAGCTCGTATGCGTAAGAGCAACACGATACCGGTGTAATGCCACACCGGTAACGCTGTGCGATTTTAGAAAAATGAAGAAAAGATGGATGGTAAAGTTCTTTTGTCCTTCTTTTGTGAGACAGAAGAGCTCTGTTTCTCTGTTACTCCAAAACAATCGCCGTAGCATCGCAGCGGTATCGTATTGCTCGTCTGTATACAGCCTTATAGTATCGAAAATGAGATGAAAAAAAGATAAAAACTGACAAAATAGGTGCGCATTCTTTCCACCGATAAACTCTTGTACAATGAGGCGTATATACAACGCATAATCTTTAAATAAATAAACTACAGAATACGATGTGTAATTTCAATTTAGGAGAATCCTACATAGATTTTTTGTGTTTTTCATTATATGCCTAGATAAATGTTTATATCTAATGTTAGCTATATGCGTACCTAAGAGTACTTAACAGTGCCTATATATTTTAAATACAATTAGGATTATATTTTACATAACATTGCAATATATATTATGTAAGAATATATACCTAATACCATAAAAGCAATCGAAGACTTTCCGAAAATTGGTTGACCTTTATTCAAGATTATAATATTCGCTTTAGAATTTTAAATCATCCTGTATTTGATACGCCCGTAACAATTTTGTGTTATAGTTTCTTACCAAATTCATTTTCAAAATGATACATTTGTGATACATACAATGATACACTCTTCCAAGTGAACTCATTAAAATTACAATTGCTTTGAAGTATGTTTCGCGACAAAGGAGTCGAAATCAACATTCTTCTTCGCTTTTTTATCCTCTACAGCCACGCGATATGATTTACAGCAATTGTGTTCCAATTACTCGTCGCGTTTCTCCGTGCTAAATTAAAATAGTCGCTAAAATGTCAGTTTATTCGACAGATTCGCTGGAAGATACAAACGAAGTCGCAGTTGAATGCCCCGATTCGTCACAAGATGAAAATAACAGGTTTAACCTAGGTTCAATCACACACTTGATTGACGTACCTTGCAATGCATCACTTTGTTTAAAACCAATTACTGCACTTGATAAATTACTCCAGGAAAAAGGCAAGCGTAAAAGTCACTTGAGGTGTCTAACTTTTAACCTTAACTGTCTACAATTAGTTTAATTTACAGTATATGAATAAAATAAACTCAGGTTATAACTGACCAAGAAGTAGATCGCCTTTATTAATGTATGATTGTGGTAAATCTAAAATTGTGAATCATAAATTCAATACAGGTGACTGACTTTTGATTTTATCTTTTCTTTGGAATAATTTCAGATAGCGGATTTAATAAAATCGCGTCGGGAACAGATATTGATAAAAAAACAAAGACAAAAAGTAATAGGAATGCAGTAATTGCGGGAGGAGACGCGAGTCTACGACGACGTCTGGCCTCGTCTAAAAACAAGAAACGGGACGTTACAGATCCATTAAGGAGTAATGTAAGATTACATACTGAATAGTCATTACAAAGAATCATAAGGCACAAAATGTATATTTATAATTATATGGCAGTAGTTTCATCAGTTTTTCAAGTAGATAAGGTCTTCTGAAAGCCTTGTGCTGATTTATGTTGAATTTGAAGTCCGATACTGACTAAATAAAAGTTTTAAGAAAAATTCTATTTTTTAAAAAGATCTATTTTTTGTTTGTTAAAGAAATAGAGGGTTTTGTTATATTTTCCATTTCAAGATCAGTAACCTTGCTTGCCTTTTTCAATTTTCTTTTGATACCATCAAATAATATACTTGTGATAACAGATTGCCGTGTTATATAATATAATCGCTACTGTTGCGAAACTAGGATTAGAAATATCGAGAGAGTGACCCATCATATCAGAAAATATCATATCAAATTTAAAATACTGTGTATATTTTACAGATAATAAGACTGAAACTAGGATTAGAATTAACATGATAAGTAACATAACTTAAAAACTATTAAGACGTTAAAAATAGGGACCAGAGCGCAAATGTAAATACAATAGTTCAGAAATGAATAACAAATACATCGTTAAGTAATTTGAGTGAAACTTATTAACGTGTGTAACGCATGAAATGTATAACTATGAAATCTATTAATAACTACTAAAATAAGTTAATTATTCTACGTCAGCCGTTGCTTACTACAAATTTTGTTGAATCTCATGCATTCTTCTTTGAAGTTATTCGTAAGCTCCTGTCATAAATTGTTCAAACGCTAAATAGCGATGTCCACAGTTGTTGTCTTTTAAGATGTATTGACACTGGCGTAAAATTCCGTAAAAGGACAAATAAGAAACCTTTCATTCGTGCTTAAAACCATCTCGCTTCTTCTAGGACGCAAGCAGTTTAAATCAGGAAGAAGATAGCGTCAATAAGAGAGTAGCATCAAGTTTCCGTAAACATTTTTCGAAAACGTTGCTGGCGAAACGAAGTCGTCCTGAAAAAAACCCGATACCTACGAAGCCGAACAAAAAGTTGGGCAACGTGCTCGCCCCGAGGATTCAACCGGCGAAGATGCCGCGTTCTTATTTGGAGCTTTATCGCCGACGATTCAGTTAGTCCGGAACGAGATGATGTTCCTTCTTCTTGGTTGGTGACCGACACAAAGTTTCGTGGCGTCCGAGGGCGGGAGGGTAACGCGTTTACGCGAAGATGCTCAAAATGGCACCGGAACGACGCAATTTTCTCCGAGGATGTTTACTTTGGACGTGATTAGATGTCGTTTCCACGCCGGTAATATATATACCTGCGCAGTGGGGGCTGGGGGACTGCGCGGAGGGGATTAGAACGCACGCCAACCCCCTTAGGACGGTCCTTTTTGTTTGTTTCCTCCCCTGGCTCGCTTGTTTGCTGACGCTGCGCTGTTCTGCTTTATTGTTATTTGGACGCGTTGAATCTTTCTGTAATTTGAAACCGACCCGCGTTTCTTGGCCAGCTTCAACTGGAAGAGAATCCCTCCCAGAAAGACGATCATTTTTAAAACGTTAGACGCGAGAGGATACGAGGGTTTGTAGATTGTTCCTGAGTTTGCAGGGTCTGATACCGTGGGGATTCTAGGGTATAGGGGTTGGACTGACCCCCAAGCATGGTTCGCATAGCCTACTAGCTCGCATATTTGTCACTATGACATCAACGATCTTCCAAGTGACTGGTTAAAACTCTGACGAATGTATGAATCTCTATTATAAATGTTCTGGCTTGTCTGTTTGTATTCTCGAAGGATGAATTTAGAGATGAATCTCTGTACGTTCTTATAAAACCAGTATTACCCTTGACTCTAACCCCACAGCATGTTCCAGATTTTTACTGACCTAATTTGTAACATAGTTTGTTTCTTTTGTTTTCTTTCTTTTCTTCAAAAACATGATTGATACTCGAATAAGATAACATTTAGCCAGTTTCATTTTTAATCACTGTGATGGATTCTAATCTATCTTAACAGTACTTTTTTTCACCTAACAGAAATGTGACGCTTATACAATTAACTTGTAATTATTTTATTTAATTTTGTTTATAATTGTACTACAAATAAACAGTACATATAATAATGAAACAAATTAGTGCAATTATATGCGTAAAGTAGTTAACGTTGAAAATTCCTGACAGTACTTATTCTTTCGCAAATATGTTTTATTTTCTCAATGGAAAATAAAATCTGTGTTACAGAATTCTCGAAGTTTTCCTCTATAAATGAGGAATACTATTCTTAATTTCAAAATAAATTTAAAAATATTGGGAAAACTTTGTGTATATCTGACTCGTTTCAAGAGTAAGCATATTTAAATACAACTTATAATGTTTTAATTCTCTGTATCATTTTATTTAGAAGAGTGTATAGAATTGTTTGTTTAAAATAACTTTTGCATGGCGTTCCTAATTAACATGTAAATAATTTTTGAAGTTTAAAAATATTAATCCTTCCTTTAAAAATGAATTTTTCAAAAACTGTGGGTGATAGGGAAAACTCAATTTTTAAATTCCTAGTCAATATTCTACAAGAATCATCCACTAGTTGTTAAAATATAAAACATCGAAGAACGTCATTGATTTCTTAATACATTCCTTGAAATTTCTAATATTCCGTTATTAACAAATGTTTTTTTCTAGTATTTTTGAATGATTAATCCTTCGCTGGCAATATGAGTTTTCACCAATGAGAATGGCAATATGGTTCTTTTAATGTCTTTGATTTTTCATTGTTTTGAGTTCTGTAAAAATTCAAAGATTTAAAAACGTGGTGAATTCACGAAGAAATACATAAGATTGTGGACAGCCCTTGAATAGTCCATATTAGCGGCGGAGGATGAACATGTAAAAGCAAGTAAATATTATAAATCATAATAACAATAACATAATAATAAAGCAATATTGATTATAAATAATACATTGACAGTCTAGTCTAGGAGTGTACGTGTATACCAACGATGCGAATGGGTTAAGGATTCGTAAAGGTCACATTCCATAAACGTTACCTCCTGATTGACATCAATTTCGTAGTGTCGGGAGATTATTTGATGGCTAGCTTCAGAAATGCAAATTTATCGGTCAATTCTCATCTCACTTACAATGTTAATTTGCTATTCGTCAATACAATTACGCGTAACTAATCAAAGCTATAAAAGAAGCACACAGCGAAAGATCCTTTTCGCGTCTGTACTGTAGACATCAAGTATTTGCCCAATAGTAAATGTCGGTTTCCTGCGCAACCGATCATACAATTTGAAGGCGAAGCCTCTTGCTAGCGCGTCATCGTGAAAACCAATTCGGAAGGGATTCGGTTCGCGTCGGGAAACGCCGCGGGTAGGTTGCATCTTCTGTTTCTCGTTGCTCGCAGGTGAACCACGGTACAACGTCCGATCCCCGGAGGGCTCCACCTTGTCGATTTTCGGAGACAGCCAGCAAGAGCAGCTCACCGACGAGGATACGTGTTTACCAGACACCCCGAGGGACGATCAGAGCGAGCTCAGTTTTTACCGTCGTCTAATCGAGGAATTCACCGATCGTCCAGTCACGACCATTCGATCTGCCGGAACGTTGCATCAACACGTGTCAGAAGACACGAACGTTTCCCATGGCCTGGACATGGTTAAGCGGGACGCGATCAGCAATAAATCGAAGAGCCTCGCTTACAGACCGTACACTATCGAGGAATACAAGACCTTGCCGATACCGAACCTCGATCGATCTCTTGGGCCCGATAAAGTGGAAATGCAAACGAAGGTGGGATTGCATCTTCTTGGCCTTTTTCTTTCCTTTAATCGTTGTACAACCTAAACCTCTTTTTACGCGATAGATACGTTCTCCAAAATTACGCGTAAATAGAATTCGCGTGAGAAGAACTACAGACTCCGTAGAAAAAATGAAAATTAATTCCAAACTTAAAATATAAGCAAAATAATGAAGAAAAAACAATATTATATTCGTAAGAATCATTCGACTTTTATTTACATTTAACGGAGAACACTCATACATATAATAAATTTTGATAACTATAAAAAAAATTACATAAAAAAATTGGCATAAAAAGAGGTTTATGTGTATTGTTGTGTTATTGGAATACGAATTGCCGTATTACACATGGATGTGATAGTTTAACGATAAGTTGGAAATTCGTTATTAACGCGTTTGTTATCAGCATTCGTCTCAGTAGCTATCTTCATAGTTACAATATTCTGAACATAATTATAAAAGACAAGATGAGGATTAAGACAAGAGACAAATTACTAGATTTTTAAACAAGTCTCGTGAATTTTTTACATATTACAGCATGCATTACGACTTTAGATAAAAACATATGTAAAAGTAATTTACTTTTGTTCAAGCATAATACACCATATTTATGACTATCACAATATTATGTTGTTTGCAAAAGAAGTTTAATTTCATTCGTGCTGTTATGTCTGAGTTAAAACTAGACTGTAGATGTTGCAATTTCCACTTTTCATTAACGCTTTGCACTCCGCTGGCTCTGCTACAGAGACATAGTTTGCATTCCACATCTCATATGATTAATTTCAAATGGTAAAATACTTCTTTTTCTTTTTGTTTGAATAAAGAAAACTGATAAAATAAATTAAAAGAATCCATGAATATTTGTAATTTTTCTTTTTTGAAATAAAATTTATAGATTCTTGAAAGTTCCGATAGAAATTCACTTTTTTATGAAAAACTTCAATGAATTTGAAATTGGACAAAGAGTCTATGAGTTTATTTACTTCAATACCTGTTTTAACGTGATTGCACAAAAAAAGTATATTACAAATTACTAAATAGCCTTAGTTTAATCATAACATATGGTGCACATTTGTTTAAACATTTCGTAAGTAAAATATATTAGATTTGATAGAATATGTAATATCTGTATCTTTTATCTGTTATTATTAACTACAGAGTGATCCAGTAAATGTTAACAATTCGTCATCTTCCCTGTTTTCTTTTAAGATATGTAAAAACTTTATTAACCAACGTATTTCAGTATAGAGAGAACTACAATGTGGCAGTAATAATTATTTTTAAGGTAGAAGGTTTTTGAAGACTTTAAGGCTATGTATGTCGAAAATTCAATAATTTAGGAGATATTCCAACATTAATTTTATTGAGTTCTTTAGATGTTATTTTCTATATTTTCGTATTTATCAACTGACAGCAGCTTTCAACAAGAATACAAATATCGTCACGAGTTCAGTTAAGATCTTATTTACGAGCAAATAAATCGCGTCGAAGGTTTAACTTAGAACGTTAGAATCGAACAAACACAGTTTGCAAATACTGTTTACTTGCCCTTGAACACCTTCCCTATTGAATCGCAGTAAGTGATCATGTTACAAATAATAGTGAGAGAAAAGCAATGATAGAGTGTTAGATATGGGGCCACAGAAATTCAATAATAACTAAAATGTTGTATACATGTTAAATGATATCAAAAGAGTTGTCTTATTTACAACGTTACTGAAATTAAAGTTGAAGTATCCCTTGAATTGTTATTTTTTTCGGCAAACATAGGTTAATACTCTTTTGCAGAAAATAAGGTCCTCTGGCTAACAATAAGCAATACCCCTCTCAGGGCATTCTTTCTGTAACCTCCAAGCGAGGAACATCGGATTAAAAAAGTAATATTCGAACCAAGTTTTCACCATTTTATTATTCATCCTACAAAATCCTGTTTTGCATACATTGATTACTGTATAGAGAAACATATGATTCTATTAAAAAAATTAAAATAACCTTAAAATATCAAAAAATTTTCCATTTCCAAAAAATCTATTACTACCATATTGTAGTTCTCTGTATACTAAAAAGCTTTGGTTAATAAAGTATTTGCGTATCTTCAAAAACAGGGGAGATAATGAAAAATTAATATATACTAGCCCACTCTGTATATACAGGGTGTTCCTAAATTATTGGACACAAATGATAGAGCGTATACAACTCACTAAACTGAGTAAAAAGATCCCAATAAACATGGGTCCAAAGCGCAATAGTTCCCTAGATAAAAATAGGCTTTATTTGAAAAAAATGTGCAGGGACCGAAGTAAGAATACCGAATTATCTCGACACATATTAGTGATACGTACAAAAAAGTCAAACAAAAGTTACGAGCTATAAAATACAAGATGTTACGGTGGGAGGTATTTGACCGTATTAAACGCCAAATGTATTTTGTGACGTGACCTTGAAACGTCCTGCTAAGGTCACGTTATAACTCTTAAATAAAACCTTATGGTTTCTATTTCATATTTTTGATGCTGACATTCAGACATTTCCAAACCGTAAAAATGAAAATGTTTGATAACTTTGAATGCTAATTTCTTAAAAATGTGTTACGCGAAAAATTTTGTTTCTATGTTCTTTGTTGTTTCTATATTCTAAAAACTTTGCTTCTTGTTCATTTTATTTCTGTAACTCTTGTTCGATACATTTGTTCGTATCATTGATACTTTTCGAATTAATTCTGTGTTCTCGGTTCGGTTCCCATACATTTTTTTTTAAACAAAACCAATTTTTATCTCAGAAAGTATTAAGTTTTGGACCCATGTTTACCTGGGTCTTTTACTCAATTTAGTGAGTTGTACACACCCTATCATTTGTGTGCAATAATGTAGAAACACCCTACAGATTTAGAAAGTTTGTGATCGCTGTAAATGAGTCTAGCAAATATGTTTATAATGGAATCAAATTCAATATGCACCATGAGTATTTACAAGTTTCCATATCTAAGATTTTATGGTATACCTTGATATGATACGGTTGCTCTTAAATTTTATTACGTGTCATTGTAAGAGTAGAATGTGCTCTTACGAGTATTTCATACTTACTGTTGGTCAGTATTGCGTCCTCGTTAAATAATGTTCGAACCTTATAAGCATTACTTGGAAATCAAAAAACGTGAAGTATGTGGACACTATTACTGTTGTAGTACACTTATAAGTATCTACGGTCTTTGTCTTTGAAATGCCCACAATCAGAAACGGAAATAGTTAAGATTAGATTCCTTCTAATCTAATTAATCTTACCATTGGTCTCTATAAATACTATATTACAAATCAAAATAGAATCTGACCTATTTAAGAATTATCTTTTAGAAATAGAAAATATTTCATGTCTGACGAATGAATTAGGTATTAAATACTAATGACTACACAGTTTTTTATAATTTTCTTATACAAATTAGAACAATGTATTTCTTGAAGCTTCAATCAACTAATTTTAGTTTATACGTTACTAAATCAATTTGTGTAATAGTTTCTCAGAAAATCATTTTTTCACGAAGTGTTAAAGAAGAAACCCCACGAGCGTCAGTTTGACTCATCTGGTAATTCTAGAATTAATAAATAATCTGTCACACTTGTAATTTTGCAGTTATAGATAGTAGTTGCAAATTGAACATAGAGGCTCAACTTCTTTCAGTATACATAAAACATGCATTACATTTTTGATGATTCAAAAGGACGAATTTGACTATTCGGTCTAAACTCGAATAACCAAAGGTTCGAAGAGAGACGTTTCACAATCTTGTTTTCCTGTCCCACCGGAAGTTAACCTGCCGGTGCTGAGAAAGCGAAGTAGAAGAAACTTCGCTTCCGTCGATCTATCACAGTTTACGATTTCACGGAATACCTAAAGCGACTTGGCTTGTCACCGCCTCCGAACTTCAATCTAATAAACATGCAGCTGTTTCCTTGCAGCCAACTTATCATTTCTTACTTACTATTTCCTTTCTGTAAAGACATGTGGACAATTTTCCGATTGATTAGTTTCTAAATGTTCACCTTTCCCTCGCCTTTCATATTGAATCACATGAAAGTCGAAACTTTTTAAACCATCTACTACGTTTTCAATTTTTTGTCTACACCTTTCTCGTCCGTACTTTCATTTCTGGAGCCTTTGACTTATTGAAGTGAATAGGACACAAATTAAAGGAAAGATATTAAGATGTTAAATGTCTAATTTCATCTTGATAATTTCGATACGTATGCTTTGAATTGATACCATTCATAAAACCGAATAATTGTTATTATTATTGGAAGTTTCTTCTTTTTCAATTATATGTATAGTTTTTCAGTAGGTAAACAACTTGCAACCATTATTGATATACTTTTCAATTTTTCAGTTTGATGGACGAACGTTCACTCAGCTAAGTAATTATTAAGCATTGCTACATAAAACACGGTTCCCATACTAACCTTTGCATTTAGCACAGAAAACGTATCCGAAGTGACCCTGTGTGATCATTATGTATTATGCTGATGGTAGCTAATATGGAACACACAATATTTCGAAAAATAAATAGTCTGATGTGTGAATTACTATGGGGACACACTTTATTAGTTATAGAAAACAATTATATTAATAGTTGGACATCAATTAAGAATTCCTTATTGAATGTGAAGAATTATTGTGTTAGGTAGTAGGTTAAATTTTTTAAAAGACGAATTAAATAGTCAAATTTCTTAATGTAGATAGGCCAAACAATTTTATTTTCTTATGATTTATCATTGAATATGTTTGTTTTTCATTATTCAAAAGCAATTTGCTGCAAATTTGTTTTCTTCTTAGAATAGTTATTATTTTTCTATCGGAATACGTGGCGCACATATTATTATGTTATATTTTTATTTTATGGAGGCAATTACAAAATTGATAATATCGGAAAAAATATGTTCAATGCATTGTGTTCACGAAGAATGTAATGATCTTGATGTACTATTCATATGTCCAAT